CAATTCAACAACGACCTTTGCCCACAAAGGAACGCTGCTTTGATCGAGCTGCCGGAGCACGCCAAGAAAACCAGCAAGCGAGGACTAGCTGACGAGGAAAGTGAACTACAGGGCCTGCTCTGGTCTTCCAGGCAGGTGTGCGACACTCGATGGGTATGCCCTTTCGACATACACCCTGCCGCTGATGCACAGACCAACAGAAGGCCTGTGATACTTAAATTTGTTTTCTCATGGTCACTTGTCAATTTTGTTAGAGTTGCACCCTCAGTGTGGCAGCTAGTCATTGGTTCTTTTTGGCTGGCTGGTGCCCTGCAGGCGCTTTTCGACCGGGCGAATTGCGTGCAACGTTGATGGTGTCGATGACAACCCATTTGCAAATGCCTCAGAGCTTGGGTGTGCAGGACGGCCATTGTCGAGCGATGCTTTGCTGCTGCCACTTAGCAGGGACATCATAGTTCCAGAAAGTTTGAGTGCAGAGGCAGACCTGAAACAGGCTGAGCGAGTCCGACCTTCGGTCGAAACATGTTCGGCTCAGAAGGGAACCAAAAGGTGGGAGGCATTGTTTCAGTCTATGCTCACAATGAGTGGCACCAGCTTGCTCAAGAACAAGTGCGTGGTGATCCTGAACCTCACTGGATACATTGAAGATGCTGGATGTGCTGTCCTTTGTCTACACTTATTTGGAACACTCTCCTTCAAGTTGTTCCACTCTCCATTCCAGAGTTTAATCCTAGAGGTTCAAGCACCTAAGGGTAAGTTAAAACAAGAATAAATTTGGAAAAAACATTTGGGATCCTGGACATGGGGTTTACACGGACCTACTATATACAACGCGCGTGACCGACGGTTGAGGACACATCCAGAGCCTTAGTGCTCTGAGTATATCGCCATCCAATAACTATGCTATGCTACTATCGCCACTATCTATCATAGGGTGGAATGTGTGGCTCTGCGCTTGTCACAGCCTTTGTTGGAACAAGGCGGCTAAAACGCTTCAGCTGAAACAAATTGCACAACATGTATTAAATAATTTATGCATATTAATACCAGCCAACCCCATCACCAAGCCCAATATTGGTTTGCATTGTTATAAGATATTGTAAGACTTTAAATCAGGCGTTAGCAGCAGTGAAAACCATCACAACGAAACAATATCATTAAAGGTCATCCTGGAGCCTGAACCCGGCTACTTTTGGCTTCTCTTTTGATTAGGTTTAGTAATTGGTACTTAGCTGCACAGACCTTAAACTTTTCCCTGCGTTTGTGATCTCAGGCATTGGAATTGCGGTTGAAGGATGCGGAATACAAAGGTGGCTTCAAAACCAGCAACCTTTTCTACCACAGCATTTGGTTCCTGAACAAAGAGAGCTTTGGGCATGCTCGGTTGACCCGAGAAGTGACAGATGCGTGGATTACTCGCCGCTTCTCCCATGGAGGCCAGCAGTTTACCATGGAGCCACCAGCATTGACGGCCGCTGACCTGGAGGCAATCCCTGGATCTTCCTTGGAGGATATGGACAAAATGAAGTTTGAGGTCTTAGAGCGCACTGGCCCCGGCACCACCTTTACCATAAAGGTGGACGAACACAAGTTCTGGTCGATGCAGACTGGAGTGATCGGTGATCAGTACAAAGAGCTGCGCGAAAAGCACCAACAGCTGATTGGTCGTTGTGCAGTTGGGAGTGAGAAAGCAGAAGCCGAGCCAGAGTCTGAAGAGAATGCTGGAGCGGCTGGATCAGCGACTGAGATGGTTGAGCTTGAGTCGGTTTCAAAGTTGGAAGAGACCCTTGGGATTGAGGTTAAGTGCAACTCCGAGGTGTCCTCAGTGCAGCTGATTTTGGCCAAAGACTCCAGCATTTGGCTTTGCTCCACTCAGGACCGGTCCATCGGAAAGTGCACCGTCTTGGGAGGATTCGGAACAGGACAATGGGTGTCCCAGTCTCAGTCAGACAGCCAGCCAGGGATCGACTTTGTGATGCCAAGTGATCGGACCCTTGTCCAGTTGGACGAGGCTAGCTTCAGTTCTGAGGGTCAAGGGGTCTCGACATCAACTCTTTTCAAGCTCCTTGTTCGCGCGGAGCGCGAGAAAGGAGTTGTTGAACATCGTGTGAGCTTCCTCACCATCAGCCGCAAGGAAGATGCAGCCCTGGAGGAGGCTGGCTGCGATGGATTTAATGTGACCATCAAAACGCCGATGACGTTTCGATGCATGAGGGACCCGAGAGTTGGAGACAATGAAGATAAGGTGACCTCGAAGAACTTTTTTGCGAAGGCCTTGGCAGGTTTGGCAGGATCGGGAGTTGGCGGTGGTGATGGCCTTGTATCCAAAATTTTCAGGTATAGGTTTGAGAGAGTGGGCCAGAACTTTAAGGTACAGCGCCCATACGTCATCACCAATAGAGTGCTGACCCTCAAACAAAACCAACCTTTGAAAATCAGCAAAGCGTGATGCAACAGTTTTGCAGGATCCTCTTTGTGGTGCTCCAAGTTCCAGAGGGTTTAATTCCATGTTTGATGTTTGTATGTGTTTTGTTCGCTTCATTGATTCCTTTTGTTTTGGATACACCATGAACAGCATGCAACTTGCAGCTTTGGACCAGCCACATATAGAGGGTCAAAAATACGCATCGCGTAGGTATCCTGCCTTTTGCGGTTGGGTTTCAACACCTTCACATTTTAAAGTAAGTATGACCACAACGTCTTCATTGACATTTGGTTAACAAACACCTTTAAACACAACACCTTCAATGAAACTGCAAAGCAGGCAGCAATGTGGACAAAGCAGGACAAAGGCTTTGCGGATAGATCTTGTTTGACTGCGGTGACTGACAAAACTTGGGGTCAGTCTGAGCAGGCCAGCAAGCCCCTCAGGGCCTTCGAGACCTTGCGGCAGAGTGTGCAAAATGGATTTAATCTGATGGCCAACGTGGCCAACGTTTGGTGCAAGAGCATAATGTTTCACAGCAGGAGCAGCAGAATGGGTTCCTTTGAGACGTGTAGTGTGCTGTGCTCACCAATGGTGTTAGTCAACTTGTTGGTAAATCTTGAAGTTACTTTGCTGCAGCTTTTTTGTTGTCCCCATAGCGTGGAGTTCGCAGAAAGCATGGCTGTGTTGTGGACGCAGGTAAAGCAGCTGTGGGATTGCCTGTCGGGGTTCCTTGGCCTGGCAGAGCTGTCGAGGCTTTTGGACTTTGAGTACGAAAACATCCGTGAAAGTTTCCTGAAGCTACGTTGCATTTGGGACTACCCTGCAGATCTCCAGATTGCTTTGGAAATGATCCAAATTTTGACAGTTCTTCAGTGCATGACGTTTTATGCACGCATGGGTTCAGAGGATCAGATTTGCGAGACCACTACCTTTGTGGAGGCGGAGAACTATGGTCCCAGACCTCACCATCCATGCTCAGTGAGGGACAACCTGAGAGCCTTCTTGAACACGCCTGCCAAGAAGGAGATGACTCTGTCAGAGGTGAACAAGGCTTTGAAAGACCTGGACAGTCTCATCATTGCCGCCAAGGACAACCATGCCATCTTGAACCGCTTCAACGCTGCGAAAGCGTTGTTGCAGGATGTGGCAAGGGAAGGTGCGCTTTTGTGATGCTTTTGTGAGTGGGGCAGCAGTTTTTGCTGTAGATGAGAGCAGTTAGCAAGAGTTGGGGTGTGCTTGTAAAAAAAGTCGGATAGATTCTTGAAAAGTATCTTGAGAACAAAGAATTCGATCTCATTGGTGTGACAGAAATTTGCGTTGAGAGAGGCAAACTTTGCCTTTTGACTTTTTGTTTCGTTGAAGATTGTTGAAGACTGTTTGACTCATTCTCTTGTGCACGCTCAAGTGACAGCAACTTAGTCTTTGCTGGTGTGGTAGCTGCTAGTGGCTAGCCAGCAGAATGAGCGGAATGGCGATTGACATCCAGGCTAGGATCCTGAACACCATGAACAACAGCGTGATGCGTTCTCCCCAGGCTCCGGCTCCAACTTCGAGAGCACCTGAAACTGAAGTCTCGCCTGGGGCACGCCTGAAAGAATGTCCAAACAGTGTTCATGACTTGCTTCGGGCAACTCCTTCGCCGAAAGCAAGCCCCAGTAGAGAGACCAAGGGCCGGGGAAGAGGCAAAGGGCGTGGGCGTGGGCGTGGTAAGACACAGGACCAGAGTCACTTTGACCTTCTTAGATTTTCAAGGTTTTTATGTCCTGATGAAATTTGTGTGCTTTTGACTGCCCTTTGACATATTTTTTTTGTTGGAGAGCCTTGGACAAGGCGCACCAAATGCTCCAGCTGCCGTGGAGCCTACAGTCCAAGCTACTCCTGTGAAAAGGCCTTCAGCCAAGTTTACTCCGCGGAAGCGTCCTGCGGCAAACCGCGAAAGCTCTACTGAGGCCAAGGGGAAAGCAGATACAAATTCAGAGGTGAAGGTCAAGACACCTCCAGTTTTGCCAGTTTCGTCACCTCAGAAGAAATCTTCTGAGAAGAAACCTTCTGAGAAGAAGTCTGGAAACATTGTTTCCACTACTAAATTTGTTGGAGGGTGGACGTTGTTCCAGATGGAAACCAAATCCAAGCGCGTTTACCCAAAGTATGTTGGTCCAAATGGGCCTAAAGACATCCATTATTCGAAATCCTCAGCAAAGCTTGCAGGTTTTGTAGATAAGGAAGCGTGAGTTTTGGTCTTGAGCAGCAGTGCGAGGAGGGCAAAACAAGGATGATCAAGGATTAGAAACAATGGGTGGGGAGCAACACAAGAATTAAGAGGCATGTAACAGCAATAAAACAACAACCCGACACCAAAGCACCAACCTCCTGAAAACACTATCTTTTCTGAAACTTTCTTAATAGAGATTGTTTGGGTTCCGTAGATCACATATCATGTATGCATGTAATAGTATATAGGGATTGATATATGGAATATGGAATCATATGGAACTGTGGGTTCAGGTTGTTGATTGTCGGGGTGTTCTGCATCAAACTAGTTCGGCTGCTGGACCCCTGTTTCAGTCCAATCCTCAGGTCGTTGCATCGTGCGCCTGGAAGCTTCTCTGGATGCCTCGCTCTCTGGTAGATCACCTGCCCGACCAGACGAAAAGACCAACAGAAACACCGTCCGTCGATGCATTTGGTACACGTTGATGCATCAAAAGATGCATTTTGGGAGTACTACAAATCACTTATACAGATCAAAGACAACTACAGAAACGGTGCACGATAGCAAGTCCACACACCGCACACCGCTTTGCAAGGCTATGAGATATTGTTGAACCAAAGCCATGTTGGAAGGAATTGGAGAACGGATATCTATATGTCCTTCTTGACCCCGAAAGTGTTGCATTGAGCTTGAGAAGTTGAAATGGTTTCCCGAGATTTCTAGGAGACATAGGTGACAAAATGCGTCCCATTTTGGAGCGAAGTACAGTTTCTTGAGGCGCTGGACTTGGCGACATGGGAAACATCAATCTGTGCTCCTTCCTTCCAGCTATACCCCACTCTAGAAAGAGGAGGTGTTTGCAATGACTCCAACCTAAATCCAGCGTTAAGCCTTCCTACACAAAGACTTGAGGACTCCAGGACCATTTGCAACTTCCACAAAAGAACAGTAGATCTTTGTGAGCTGCTTGTTGGCCAATCAACTAGCACATTGTATGGTGAAAGCACCACAAAGGTTAAGTACAGCTGCAGCTATAAACACTTTGCAATTGACATCGTTTCGAATAAAGTGGCTTCAAATCTGCATGCCGTCGGTTGTGCCTGGGCCTGTTTTGCAGCAAACATGCCAAGGAACTGGTCCGGTTGCGACGTTGGACACTGACCCAATCCCCCAGAGGCCCATGCTGGTGAGTCATAGTAACGAAAGAAATCCTTCCAGCTAGAACGAGCAAGGAACCGCATCCGTTCCTAGCGCATTCCGAATCTGCACTTTTCCATTTTCGGCCAATATTGTACGCATGCAGAGTTCTATCAGGCATACAAATGCCGTTTGAGCAGGTTTGATGCCCGACAGGGTAGTCCAATTCACTTCCAGCAGACGCTTTGAGCAGTGCAAACAAACAACCAAACGCGGACACTTCAGGTGATCACTTACTTCGCCTTGAAAACAAAAGGCAACAAGTCCTTGGTGAAGTCCTTCTCTTCCTCTCGTCTTCTCCCACACCCACCGACCATCCTCCCCAACCCGCGATCCGCACCTTCGCTCTCCGACGCAGTCGCCTGTCGCCGAGGCTCCGTCAGGCGGTCAAGGCAAGGGCAACAAGCACAAACAGCTAAGATGCTGTTGTTTCTGATGTTTCGCGATGGAAAATGGACCAAGGTCCCTCTGGGCACGCAGAAACACGCAAAACTGCCACGCAGCCGAGCCTGCCACTCGAGAGCCTTCCACCGGAAGCCGCGGTGGCTTCCGCTGGAACGGCCCGACGAGGTCCTTGAAGGGCTGGTGGCCTGCCGGTCGGCGCAGCTTTGAGCTTTGGGGTGAGTCAGGGGTGCGAAGGGACTCGTATTCGTTTAGACGTGTTAAGAAAAAACACCATTCAATATATATAATATATAATATGTTAATTATATGTGAGTGTTATACACATGCATTTGGGAGGTACAAAGTCACTCTGTCATACGCACTTTGTTTAGGAGGCGGTAGGGGAATGTCAGGCAAGCGCGACTTTCTCTCGCAGCGAAGGCGGATCACCGCTCTGTGCTCAACAAACAAGTACTTGACGGGCACTTGAGATCAAGGCCTGCAACATACGCCTTGGCACCATATATCTGTATACCTTATAAGGTAGTGTTTTGGCCTGTTTGTGTGTTCTGACCCCCCTTACTCCTGACGCTATTGTCTTTTTTTAATGGTATACAGTATCCCATTGCAACTATTGAAACATACGCCTGCTAATTGGCAAAAGTAGTTGAGATCAGTGATCTGGGTGTTAAATGGTGTACAAATGTATAAACCTTGACAGAGCGGTCATCACTGGTGTCGAAAGGAGCTTTGGTTTTGTTGGTCTTTGCTGGATTGGACTCAGATTCTCCTGAGTGTTGGAAAACCAAACTGGTTTCCAGCGTCCGTTGTGGGGAATGTAATTGTTCTTGCCTGCCTCTGTGCTTGACAGGCTGGCTGCTGGCAGCTGAGTGGTACCAGCAGAATCTCCGTCCGGAATCTAAGTCAGCCTCCAGTAGCTACACTTGCATCAAAAGCCTATTCAGTGCAGCTGTGAAGTGTCAGCGTCCTTCATCCCCTACAGGCCAAGGCTTGAGAGAAACCTGAAAAGGATATTATATTAATATTATATCCATCCAATTACCAGCAACAGCGGATGATGATGGTTAGTAAAGGCCGTTCAAAACAAACGGACTGTTCCTGGCAATGGGCTACACCTTCAAGCAACAAAAACTTGCGGTGCCTCCAGATGCCTTTTTTGAACGTCGTCCCTGCTCCCCTGCCACCATGAGGCTTGCCTTGCCTCCGAGGTTGAACAAACATCCGGCCTCAGCTGAAAACGTCGGGCAAATAGGGCAGCTTTTCCAAGCTAGTGGGGTAGACCCTGCCAGCCAAACACACACGGAATTTGTTAGATGGCAGTGGATGGGCTTTGACCAAGAACTGCATCAAAACATATCAAAACTCTCTTTACCCACATATTGAGACACACTCATGTTGGCCAACCCCACTGTAGACTCTTGATGAATCACTCCCCCATTGGATTGAACATTGGGGAGGTACAAAAATCAAGAGTCTGCATATCTTCATCAGTTGAAACAGTCTTAGGCCCCCCCAACAGAAAAATCTCTGGCAAGCCCGGCATGAAGTGGTCAGCACATGGCGGCAAGCCCGGCGCTTTTCAAAGTCTCCACAGTCTTGGGAGACTCTAGAGTCTGGTGATGATCGCCGGCTGGGGCAGCTGATTGTGGGTCATGACACTCGAATACCGACGGTTTCATGTGTCGAAGGAGCTACGTCTATGGACGACCGGCGAGTCTAGGGCGAGTCTATGGCGAGTCTACGACCCATGAACAGCTGAGTAGGTCAGTGAAGGGCCACAGCAGTCGGACTGGGGGACTGGGACGGATTTGGCCAGTGGGGTTTTGGGGACTGCACCATCGATGTCCAAACCTAAGTGGAGCCATGGCTGCGGTCGGCCAAGGACTTCTAAAAACCTTTCTTCCAGGTCAAGCCCTCAGCGTCTGGGCTGTGGGTCACACCCCGAAGTCAGCAACTTCACAGCCGGCCTTGTGTCCAAAACCAGGATCCTGGAGACCTTTTTCAGTGTGGTGCTGAGTGGGGTGAAAACCCTTCACAGTCACTTCGTCTCCATCCATCCCCTCATTTTCGCCTCCGAACGCCGAACCCAAGCGTCGACGTCGACCCCGCAAGACCCACGACCCCAAGACCCGCGAACGACCCGCGCGGCGCTGGCGGGCGACCCTCTGCGCTCTGGTTTGGTGCGAAGAAGCTTCAGCCTGCTTCAGCCTGCTGCCAAACCACAGCCCGAACCTTCGCTGGCAAGTACGGTATACAAACATAGTATTCACCGGACATCCAATTCGGACCGGAGAAACGATGAACCGAGAGTCGCAGTAGTCAGTAGTCGACTTGGTGGCTTCACAAAGAGCATTCTCAAGGAAATGGGTCCGCAAGGCTCTGCACTGGACACTGGAAACATAAATTAAAATACTGTTCTGATAGTACAACCAGCAACCTCAAAACGGAGACTACAAAAAAGAGTTCATCCATGTATCTGAATGCATCTCAGATCTCAAAGTTTACTTAATCCTTTTTGCAGCCTGGGTCTGTCCTCACAACGCACTCTTCCACGGCCTAAGATCCTCATCTCCATCGCTTCTTCAGCGATTTCGGCCAGCCATGTTTGCGGAGATGTTTCTTCTCCCGCTAGACAGCTGGGTGGCTGCCAAAGTTCGCGCATGAGTTGGTGGTGAATGGTTCGTTCCACTGCTTGTCCATCTGGGTGCTCCAGATAGAAGGGCTCCATCTAGTGCCTAGTGTCTGGCCACGTTGTCTCAGGATCATCAAAGTGTCAAAAGGTTGTTCTAGCGTCTTTTTTTGCTGTAGTTGCTGTTTATTAAATCCTTCTCAGATAATTAATGATAAATAACTCTGGCTCCTCCATCCTTTTTCAGCTGAAGCACTGGGCAGCCTGCTTTGGGGGATAATAACGTATCCTGGGTCCTGTGCACCCCCAATAAATGGATTTATTGTTGCATCACAGCCATTTGCCAGCATGCGAAAAGGCCACTGAATAAGCCTGAACTGGTCTCAATCCTATCACGTTCCATGTTTGAGCTCTCTTTTCACATAGCTCCAGCCCCCCCAGCAGGTGCTTTCACGGGGGAGGCCCCAAAACTTGCAGCACCATTCTCAGCTTCTCTTGGCTTCTCGCATGGCACCGTTCTCAACAACCACTCAGTAGTCTCAGTAGTTCTTGTTAATGACCAGTGCCTTCTCCTCACCGGAACTTCTCGCTGAAATCAGTGAGTTCTCGTTAAACGCCACCTGTCATTCATAGATGTTCGTTTTCGATCCTTTCGAGAGGGTGGTGCCCAAACCCTGAATAAGCCATCCCAATGAATTGATCATCTCACAATTGTTCAATCAATCATCTGAGTTTACTCACTGCATGCTGCAACCATCATGCTGTTCTTGGAACCGAGCAAAACTATAGAAGTGACACAAACCAATCGGTCCACTCCTACACAGTGACTTAGAACTTGGTCCAGGGATGTGCAGGGGCATCCTAAAAGACTAACCCCCTTTGGCTGTCTGAGGTTGAGGATGCTGTTGATGTTGCATTTGTACGACTTGACCTCAGGACCTCCTATGTGTTTTCTCCCACTCGTGCTCTATTGTTCGTAACTCGGAAGTTTGTCTTCCAAGTCTTGTTTGACAAGAAGTGGACATGATGAGATGACTACAGCGTTGAAACTTCTTTAAAGTGCGAACACATTTTGGGGAAATTGTTACAACACATTGATTTGTAAGGTTGTAGATAGGTGGGGTAGGCCTGAACTTCCAATTAGAAACGGCATGAATGACAGGATTGCCATTATATACTATAACATTGCAATGACTTACAATCTATAATTTACTATGAGCGTCTTCATCTGACCACTTCCTGAAACCATGCAATCAACCTCCCGAAACATGAAGTTTGTCATGCAACCTCGCCACAAGATCAACATCCGGCATGGCATGGCATTGCAGGCCCCCCAAAAACATGAACAGGTGATGATAACAGTTTGCTTCAGGTCTTTGAAAAGAACGTTATCGGCCTGAACCGCTGATTTGCTCCAAGACCAAAGGGCTCAAAAACCTAGCAAATGAACTCAACTGTTTAATTCATTTTAATTCAATGTTGAGCAAACATCCTGATGTTTGCATATCGGTTCGCGCTTCAGGCCGGTCAAGTCTTTGCACCTGAAGTGAACTGTAGTCACCTGTTTCAATTTCTGTGGGGACTTGAAGTGCGGGGCATTCGGCCAAGCATGGAAGTTCTCTGCACTGTAGAATGTTTATCTTTGTTGCCAGGAATGGGGTGAATCAATAGGGGCAAAGAACCAAAACCAATACTATATATATATATATAACCAGATAGATCATTTGGATTGTTCAGCATGTTTGTCCTGTACTTAGCAGTAGCTATACATTGACAAATTCAAGGGTCAAGTGCAGAAGAGTGGGCTCAGTTCGTGTGCCACTTGTGAAACGTGTCACACTTGGGATCCTATATTTGCTCACACTTTCTCTAATTCCTCGGGTTTCTGGTTCTGAAACCAACTGCCTTCCTGTCCAGATTCCTTCCACCTTGTAGGGAAAAGCCACCGGTCATCCACCGGAGCTTCGACCAAAGGGACCACGGTCATCCACCGATGCGTCCTCGAAGACCGATGGTGTCTGCACGTTGAAGAGGCAGCAAAGGCCCACGAGGAACAAGATGATCCACAAAGAGCCTGGGAGGCCAAGACCCAACCACGACATCACGATGCTGCCGGTCAATGACAGATCAATGAGCTCATTTTACCAGAGTTAGCCATACAAAAACATTGGTCAAGAAGGTAAAAAAAAAACGATGTTTGGAGCTGGGAGAGAGATTGGAGGGAGAGATCTGACGGTCACCAACTGGAATCCTGTTGAAGGCTCCCAAAAAAAGGCTGCTCCACATGGCTCCATATCGGCTCCTTGCATGGATTTCTTTGGGTGTCAAACATGCTGTCATCAATGAGCCGCCAAGTCTGGCAAAAAAGACGGTGCAACTTTCAACAGTGGCAACAGTTTCGGCAACTTATCACTTTTACCACCGCTGACACATGTTATATTTTGGTGCAGTGGCAGATTTCTACCGGCAACACGTGGAAAGTGGCAATTTAATGTGTTTATGCCGTGCAACTGTAACCAAGCAATTACTGCAGCACACCAGTGTGACTAACATTCTGCTGTGAGATATGTTTGATGAAATGTTCAAGTTGGCGGCTGCACAAAAAAAGAGACGTGTGTTCCAAGATCATGATGTGCAATGCATAATGCAGCTGTGTTTGCATTTAACTAGCAAATGCAAAACCTGACAAACAGTGCCATTCCCGTGTTTTGTTTCCAACAGTTTGTTGTCAACCTCGAGTGATGAAGCAAAGGCAAGTCAGGAGCATATCATATCAGCGGAGTAGCATTCGCTCGACACGCAGCAGCTGTGCCTGACTATGCAAAATAGAACTGTAACCGACTGTAACTATATAACCTGTCCGCACATTTGAGCGCTGCTAAATACACACATCATGCCTTTAACCCCAAACATAACACATGTGCACGTGTGAACGACTAGTTCATATAGTTCATATTTTGAAGCATGCCTGTATGGAAGCATGCCTGTATGCAGGATGCACGCATGTGTGTTTCACACAGGCATCTCAGGTCAAGAATGCCAACATGCACAAACCAACGGCATGCACTCCACGAACAATGACCAACTCTTATCCTGTAAGGAAAAGGTACTTAATAGCGATGGACATGGGATTGGCATGGCTAAAATTGGCAAAGATCATCGGATGACTTAATTCCATCAAACTTAGCATGAATTAAGCAGCACACAAAGGGAAACATCCCATCAGGCATCGTTATTGACCAAGCATTACAGTACTGCCAGCAGTAAATAGTTGCATTTTGGAAGGGTGGTGAAATTGAAAGCTATAATTCCAACGCTGAAAATGTTGTGTAAGGGATCACAAGTGGAAAGTAGCATGATATAATTTCTCCCACTGGACCAGAGTACCGCCGTATTTTGTTGCTTTTCTGACGGCGGTACAGGAGCGATTCTTTCGGACCAAAAAGGGAGGTCCCAAAAGAGCTTGGTTTCTGCGGAAAAAATCGGGTAGAAAGATGTGATGTGTGCCAAGGCGCAAAGAAAGAATCATGTCGTCTCATGGTGCTTAAAAGAAAAATGTGATATCACGTGATCAAACGTCCGCTCGCCATCACCCAACATCACAGGTTCACCATGGATGGCGAAAACACCCGAGTCCATGTGAAAGCGAAGACTGGAGCTCAGTAAAGCTACCTGGCTCATGTTGACTGTTGATTCACAAAAGCCCCCCCAACCAGGATGGTCAAATAATGTAAATATCTTATCATCTTATGGAGGTTTTGATTCATCAACAGTCACCTATGAACCATGGGGCATGATGATCCAAAGCGCAGGACATGCGGCATACACCTCCAAACCTGCGAGCTCGTGCCGCTCGTAGCGGCACACTCTCTGTGGACTGCCCTGGAAAAATCCCGGTACCAGTGGTGAAATCTCTCCCGACGACCGAACCGCTAAACACGGGAACAAGGTCGACAACCCCGGTGTTTTCTCAGTTGCACTATGGTGTTTTCTCAGTTGC